GAGAGAGAGAGAGAGAGAGAGAGAGAGAGAGAGAGAGAGAGAGAGACACACACACACACACACAGACACAGAGAGAGACACAGAGAGACACACAGAGAGAGAGAGAGAGAGAGACAGAGAGACAGAGAGAGAGACAGTGAGAGACAGAGAGAGACAGAAAGAGAGAGAGCACTTCCGCACGCCTGTTTGCACACAGCTCGACTCCGTTCCGCCTGCCAATTGCTTTTCGCCGGGCAGTGCCCACCAGTAGTGGAAATCCAGACCGCGCTGCCCGAGAAAAGAAATGCCCGTCTGAAAAGCGAACGCCCCTACCGGTAGCTCAGTTGGCACACGGACGAACTGTTGAAATACGGGCGTGAGGCGGTAGTCAACTGTGCGAAGCGCTTGAACCGGAGCCAGCAGCACCGAACTCCTGAGCTGGTCCCTGCCCATGGGTGCGAGAGCGCCTGCCCATGGGTGCGGGAGCGCGGCACTGGTTCCTGCCCATGCGACTTCGCATGTGTGCGGGAGCGCGGCGGTTTCTACCGGAGAGTTATTTCACAGGGTACCGCCCTTCGCTACGGTAGTCGGACGGTTCTTCTTCGGTAATTGCGAGGAAGAAGCTACGCTCACCATCTCACATGGGATAATTGGTGGAAAGCGCCCACGCCAAAACCTTCTCGTTTTGGGCGCCCAAAATTTGGGCGTTTGGTACTACCAGCCCAACCCTGACCGCTGTCGTTCTGTTCTTGGGAAAAAATTTCGTTTGCGTTTATTTGCGGCGTGCCCCTGTGAAGGCCGACTTACCCTGCTATGCCCCTCGGGCCTCCAAAATTTTCCGCAGGCCCCTGTCAGCATGGGCCATAACTTCTTATATGCCCTTACTGGACCGATGGTGGCGGTTCGTCGGTCCGTCCTTGAAATGCCCTCACGAGGGGCACACATCTTTCTGTGATGCCCTTGCAGCAGCGGCGGCAGGAATTTGAACTCGAAAATGGTAGGTACTTCACGCGCCGCCACGGAAACATGGTGCAGCAGTCAGTCTTCAAGTTTGCCGCGCCATGGATCGCTGCTCCCTCCTCCTCCACCCATGCTCATCGCCCTCCTCCCTCCTCCTCCATCCATGCTCGTCACTCGCCGCTCTTCTCCTCCAGCCTCCAT